CTTTAAGTATCCAACTTCAGTGTTTTTCCCCATGTTTCATTATATAAGAAAAGTAGTAAATGTGTTTTCTTATTTCCCCTCTTTCTTACACAAAGGGTAGCACACATGTGGGGAGAGCAATCGTGGTTCGTCCAGGACTGAGAACTTTCTTGGGACACAGAACTTTCAGTTAAAGCTAAAACTGGATGTGTCAGGCAAACTGGGAGGGTTGGTCATTTTATATACATGCTCTTTTAAAAAAAAAAACTATTGGTGTGTAATTTACATCCCATAAAATTCACATATATGTCCTTTTAAAAAAAATTCAAGGTATTTAATGTCACAGAATTCACCCATTTTAAGAGTTGTGCAACCTGACCACAACAATCCAGTTTTAGAACATTTTCTTCATTCTAAGAAAATTCCTCACGCCTGGTTACAGCTAAACCTTGGTCCCAGCTCACCCCGGTCCTCGCCAGTTCCAGGCAACCAGCAGCTACTTTCTTCTACAGGCTTTTCTGGGCATTTCCTATAAATAGAAACAGACAGTGTTATCTTTTGAGTCTGGCCTCTTTTACTTAGTACACTGTGCTCGAAGCCCATCCATGTCAGCATTTCCATCAGTATTATTGCTGACTAGTGCTCCATTGTTTGAATGATGCATGTTTTATTACTCATTTAATAGTTGGTGGACATTTGCATTGTTTCCTTTTTGGCTGTGATGCATCAGGCTGCAGTGAACATCACCTGAAAGTCTTTATGTGGACATGGTGTTCTTTTCTATCGAGTGGAATAGTTGGATTGTTTGAATAACTTATATTTAACTTTTTAAGAAACTGTCAAACTGCTTTCCAAGTAGCTCTACCATTTTACATTCCCACCAGCCATGTGTGAGGGGTCTTGCTTCTCCATACCCTCACCAACATTCTTGATGACTTTTTATAGACATTCTTGTAGATACAAAGCGGTACCTCATGGATTAAATTTGCAGTTCCCTAAAGATAAATGAAGTTGAGCACCTTTTCGTGTGCTTATTAA